TATATGTTTATTAAACCAAAATACAGTGCAGTAACTTAAAATATTTCATGCTCAAATGCATGTATAACAGTAGTACTCTTGTTTAATAAATAAATGTAGTGGTGACCTAGGGGTGCAATAAACAGTTCCACCTGTCTTTGACCTTGGTCTCAGAAGGCCTCCTTCAGAGAGACAGATCTTTGTTCAAGTTAGAGTCACAACAGGTTTTCTTAAACAGTAAAGAGACATTTTCTTATTATTAATCAGATAGTAAACAGAATAATATTCTTTGATTCATAATTTTATCAATGTGTAAAAAAGAAAACACAAAAAGAACACAATGTTACAGTTGTTACAATGTTTCATTGTGCTTTGATGTAAATCACTGCTTGAACTGTGAAACCACAGTAATTGATTATAGATTTTTAGGTCCAAATATTTTACTTACCGGTAACTAAACTTTGCATTATGGTTAAGCTTTATTATGAAACATTTTATAATTATTTTTTTCTGAATCATTATAATGATTCAGAAAAAAATAATTAAATCATTGATAAAATTATGAATAAAAGAAGATTATTCTGTTTATTATCTGGTTAATAATAAGAAAATGTATCTTTACTGTTTAAGAAAACCTGTTATGACTTTAACTTGAACAGAGATCTGTCTCTCTGAAGGAGGCCTTCTGAGACCAAGGTCAGGTGGAAGTGTTTATTCCACCTCGAGGTGACCACTACATAAATACAAAACATTTGWAGCAAAAACAAAACAAAACACTTACTACTTTAATGAGCTGAAGTGCAACAGCGTATGATGCCTTGAGTGCAGACTGCTGCACTGTGGTTCTGGGGAAAAGTCATTGTTTATGTACTTGTGATTACAGTAAATTTCTCATATTTAGCTTTGTGCAACGTGCTGTAGCGATGACTTATATTTCTAAGCAATTCTGTGAACAGATAGTATATCTCACAAAATAAAAACTATTTTTTAAGCTTAAAAAGGCACTCCTAAGCACACTTTTGGCTTGGCCTGATCCATAATAATTTAGGAATACGTAGGTATACTAAAAACTAAAATGATTAATTACAAATTATTATTTAGGTGCTATCTAATGAGCAGAATTTATTTAGTTTTATAGATGGTATTTTAACTCAGTATGTTAACTTTTAACTAAAGTCTAACAAAAAGAAACTGTAAATTTAATATTATTACATAAACAGCTGTGTATTCATTTATTGTTGTCAAAAAAAATCAAGTTTTCTTCTATACAGCACACTAAGTAATCCCTTTTCTGATCCCTAACTTGTGCGTGGTGGTGGTTTAACTGCAGTAACGTGTCTCATGCTGTCCCGCTCTCAGGCCTTCTTGTATATTTTGGCTACGGGATCTGGCACAGCAAGGAAGGACTCCGGGAGCTGCAGCCCAAAGACATGGCCGCCCGCTACGTGGTCCTGCCCAGCGGCAGCCTGGTGGAGACGGTGCAGAACGTTCAGCCCGACGGTCAAGTGGTCACCTCAGCGCAGTACATCAGCTCCTCCGCTACCCCGACGGCCGAAGAGTGTGCCGAAAAGAGATAATGTGTGACTACTTTTGAGTCACCGGTACAACTGCCTGATTTTATCTGTTGGTTCCCACACATGCCGTGTTTTATCACTCGTACTTTCTGTATCTCACACTCCCTTTAAGTCTGTATTCGTTGCTCTGCAAAACATATCTACCCCATTAGGTGGGAAGCACGCCGTCTTACTGCTGAGCACACTTGTATATCTTGTAATAATCAAAATGTACAGTAGAGGACTTTATTACTGCCCTGTCGACAAGTCGCATCAAAGTTGTGTTTCGTCCTTCAAAACCAGCTCTCCTCCTGCAGCCTGCCAGTTTGTCCAAATCCAGGTTCATGCATCATATCGGTGCTTTTATTAGTAACACTGAAGGATCTCCCCCCTCACTTTCCCAATTTTTATCTCTAGAGCTGAAAGAAATAGCATATTTTTAAATAGAAAACCCACATTTTTGGAAAAAATAAAGTCTTTGAAGCTACAGTAAGCTACAGATCCTGCCTGGTGCCTGCTGAAGACTGGACGTATATGTGTGGAAACTTCTTTCAGTTCATAAACTGCACTCTTGTTTTGTCAGTAAAATGCATCTCTTGTCCTTTTGTAAATTTGTAGGCACAGTTTATAAACCTTAGATGGGCTTTTAAAATGTGGTCCACAACGAGCCCCTTTAGTTAGAGGTAAAGGACTGCACAGGTGTGTTTACAGTTTTGCCTTTTCACACAAGAAATGACATGCTTTAATCACTGAAACCTATTTAGTTTGTCTCTTTTTGCTCCTTTTAGTAATTTATGAAACATATTTATTCCTACAAAATAATTTATTTATTTTTCTATTAATGGAATTCATGTTTTCCCAAAATGCACCTGAATAGTTTTTGGTTTTGTTTTATTACTTATGTTTCATTTTTATGAGAATTTTCAAGTTCATCTCCTGAATCCCATCCTGTGATCCTGCTCTTTTTTTTATAAATAATCTTAAGCATGTGATTAGTATTTTTAGCCCCCTGCACCTTTAATCTTTCCCCCTTCTTTTCTTGATGACACAAGATTATTTATTAAAAGAAAATCTATAAAATCATTTGAGTTATTTATCAAAGACAGCCTGAGGAGTCACTATATATATAAAAAATGTTCATCCAAGCACAAATCTGTTCAATGGGACTTTTCAAGCACAAATATTGTCAGGCAGGCATTGACTAAAAAGACCTGAGCTCTGCTTCGTCTCTCTGAGGCCTCTGTAATCCCTGCAGATCTGCAGCGGTCTCTGTCGCCAGTCTGCTGCCTGACCTAGATTAGAAAAAAAATAATAATAATAAAAAAAACATCTGTGTGAAAACACTCTGGTAGCTGGAGAAACATTCCCGAAATCTGCACTCATTTTGAGCCTAAATGTAAAAGCAGGTAAAACCATGTGAGCTCAGAAACCAATGGCCTTAAACATGCAAAACCTGTTATCAGTGCAGGCTGGTTTTATTTCTTTAACTGATAGATACAAGCTGCATTCTGGTACATCTCAACTGCTCCTGAATTGTCAAACCAAAAATATAAAAAAAAATAAAAATCAAATGTAGAATGTGGCGGGCGGAAATTTTATACAACTTTGCACAGTTGTGCAGCAGATTTGATTCTCGGTTAGGCTTTAGATGTCAGAGCTCGTGGCATAAACTTATACTGTGGTGCTTTTTAAAAGCTCGATCCTTTCACTTCTTATCGTTTGTGCGCCAAGAAGCACAGGTCAGTGGTCTGACTTTTTTACTTCTGCAACTGCATTGTACTCTGTATTTGCACATCCAAATCTCCTATCCTCATGTTATTATGTATGTTTGTGTAAACTGCAAAAGACAAAAAAAAAGAATAAATGTTTTGAAGCAGCATTGGAAAAAATTCAGATGTGGAGTGTTGTTATTGGTAGACATCTTGTCCAAAATTTACAACACATAAGCATTTGAACTCAGGTGTGCTTCACTCATTACATTTATACAGATTGTCATGATTGTGTGTGTCCATCCATCCATCCAAATCAAATTCAAAAATACTTTATTGATCCCAGAGAGAAATTAGGTAAATCCATCCATTTCCTTAAATATCTATAAAAATTATCTGATGATTGATTTTGATGAGGTTTATACAAATGAACCATTTAGTTATTTTGTTTTGGCACTTACAAACTGGATAATAATTTAACATCTTAGCACTAACACTCAATTAACACATAAGATAAACTTATCATAATAACTTGTGGTACAGATTTGTCGGGCATGGATCTGAAATCTTAAATAAGAACCTGTGTGTTTGCAATTAAATGTGTCACATCATTCCTACCTCTCAAGTCTGCACAAAGTGGGAGGCAAACACGTCTACAGCTCGGTGCCTCGATTTCCATGGAAACTACTTCACACTGGTGAAGCTGCTTTCCAACAGAGACACGGACACTTGTGTTTTATTTTATCTTTGTGACACTCAAGGTTGTACCTTTTGACTCAGAACTATGTGACTCATCTGCTGTGAAAGGAAGCCATCCAATCAGCCATATCCAGGTTTGTTTGAGAAGCATATCATATAACCTGAAAGCTAATACACAACAGGCGTCAGCGGGCTGTTTTATTGGCTTTAAACAGTGGGGTTCCTTTTAGAGCCACACAATGAGTTGATTCAAGAGAAATTCAGAGTGGAATGATTGGGGAAATGAAACGGGAGCAGTCTTAACGCCTCACTAAGAAGAAGAATTAAAAAGTCTGTAAAAATATTGAGAAATGTGAGTTATTTGTAATTGATGCCAGCTGCAGTAAGTACCTTTCAAAACCGTAACGCCCCTCTAATTGAATTAATTACACTAACATGGTTTGATTATCTTTTGTGTCTCAGCAGCTGTGCAGTATGAGAGCGCTAAATGTTTGTCCACAACCTGAAATGTGTTGAGGTGGAGGGCACGAAGGAAATGTTCCAAGAACAAAGGAGGTCAGACACCTGATCCTCTCACCTGACTGTTTTATTCTTCTTTAGTGTATGTGAGAAAACTGCTGTTGTTCCCGCACTACACAGAAGACAAAGTGACTAAACAAATGCACACAGCCAAGTCTACTAACATCTTTACTATGTAATTTTGTAAGTTCACTCATTAACTGGCACTCAGGCCTTAACGTTTTCTGAGAAGGTTATAGAATGAAATAAATTTGAAGAAAGCAACAGGAACCAGCACATCATTTCAAATAAATAATATGAAATACAAAGACATAGAAATAAGACACCACATTATTGTGAGGTTGTGTGCAGAATGACCCAGGCAAAAATCCATAAAGGCAACAAGAAGATTTATTAATCAAACAAAAAGGCTGTCGAGGCAGCTCAAAAACTCACAAGATCTCAAAGAGAACAGGAACACGAAGAAACACAGGTGAACAACCACACTGGCTTGGGAGACAGCACAATGAATCGACAAACACTGATGACAAGACTCAGAATATTAAGCAAACAAATTAAGAGACAATGGGAAACACCTGGGGAGACACAAGAGGAAACAGGTGAGCGTGGGCGGGGCTAGAGGCAATTCAGCATGGAGGAGATACACAGGGGAACAGAGGAACACTGGAAAATTAAAGCAAAAAACACAGACCATGACAATTATAGTGTTTTTAGAACAGTTATCAGTCTTCTAAGGAGATGAGCTGGTCTTGAAACTCCAGGCTGAAAACTGGTCGCACTCGTGGCTTCACATCTTCTGGGGTGAGGTTTCCTATTTAGACAAATGATTTCCCCAAAAGTTAATGTTAATACACAACACTGTGTACTACCCATCTGACAGAATGCTTTTACAATCCACAGCGGCTCATATTTCTTGTGCACATCCTTACCCCGGGGACGTTACACTTGGTCGATCTTTGTCGTAACGTCGCAAGACTTTTGTGCAGAGTCATATTTTCCTGCTCCAGAAGGTTTATACGAATGCTGTTTGCTTGCAGCTGTTGCTCCATGTCCAAAATCACATTTCCTGTACCTGTTGTGTACATACAAGTATGTCAGTCATGTAGATAAACTAGTACAAGACTGGATACAAGATTTACGCAAAATAATAATAATAATAATAATAATAATAATAATAATAATAATCAGTGTTGTTACTGCTCAGAAAATTTGAATGTTGTTGTCATTGATGGACACATGGTGTCTTAACAGGTATATAAACAAAAACACATAAGTTTATGTAGATATAAATTGTAATGTAGTAAGTGTGCGTACTTTGCGGTTGGGCCCGGGCCCAGTTGTTGAGCTCTGGGAAAGCCACCAGCAGCCTCTCCCTCTCTCTGAAAGCCTGCACACGCTCCATCAGATCAGCCACACGCTTCCTCAACTCTTCTACCTGTGTTTCTGTTGTCTGCTTCTCCTGTTTGAGCTTTTCACATGATTTCTGAAAGGAGAGGAGGGGAAAACATATCACCATTTTATATTATTTCTGTGAGTTATAGTCATTATTATTATCTGTATACCTGTTGCTGAGTAAGCTGGGCCTGCTGTTGTTCCTTCTCATCTGACACCTGTTGCAGCTGATTGCGTAAGCTGGTCTGTTCCTCCTCCTTCTCTCCCAGCTGCCTCTGCAGCTCCTCACACTCTTCGTCAAGAAAACTGACTCTGCTTAACAGAGATTTCTGCTTCGCCTGCATTGACTAGATATGCAATCATAAAAAGAAATGAATTAATCCACAGAATCCCTTCGTAAATCTCTTGGTTATGGTGACAAATGACGCTGACCTCTTGCTGACGGCAGGCACTCAGGTACTTGGCCTTCTCCTTGTCAAGAAGAAGCTGAGAGTCAGAAAGCTGAGCCTGTAGCTGCTGGATGCTCTGCTGCAAACTACAACAAGTCTCCTTCTCCCTTTGCAGGTTCTCCACTTTGTTTTGCAGCTCAGTTTTTTCAGTTTCTAATAAATAAACTCTTTCATTATGCAGTTAAAAATATAGGAGCTGAATGATGATTATGTTAATTTTGCACCCTTACCCAGTTCCTGTAAGGCATCTTGCTGCAGTGCAACTTTCTCCATTAGTTGGTTGATGCTTTTCTCCAGGGACAAATTTTCTGTTAGAAAAAAAAAATCACAGTTTAGTAGCAAACATGACCTCCCCTCAGTAATCTATCACAAGTTTAATCAATGGGTTAACTACCTTTCTTAAGCTGTTGCTGCTCATCTTGTAGCCTTTGCTCTTTTTCCTTTGCGGACCTCTGAGCTTTCTGCAGAGAGAACTCCAACTGGACAATGTTTGCTTGGTGCTTTTCTAACTTTCCCTTGAACTCCTTCTGTGCTCTGTCCAGCAGAGACCTGAACCTGTCCCGCTCCGTTTCGGCCGCCGTCAGTCTCTCTTTGAGGGGCTGCACAGTGCCCCGGACATCGTACAGATGCTTTGCCAGCCGACGCATGTCCCTGAGCTGCTCGTTGGCCCACTGGGTGGCATCACCCGACGTCATGTGTCCCACGTCCACCGCGTCCCCCATGGCTGCCGAGAGAGGCTGCAGGGACGAGGGCAGGCCCTCACTCTGAAACAACTCTATCAAAGCATCTCCTGTGTTTCTCAGCAGGGACTGGACTTGATGACAGGCGTCACAGGGAATCAGGGAAGATGTTATTGTCTGACAGCCTACATTATGCTGTTCAGCTTTAGAATAACATGTTGTGCTGTGGGCGGGATTAAAAGTGCTTGTTGAAGACCAGCCAGATGTACAATGTTTGAAAAGGTCAGTCCTGGAGCTACTTCTAGAAGAGGCTGGTGACTCTGTCTTTGTTTCCTTGTAGTCAAGTGTCTTTGTTTTTTCTTCTTTTGTCTCCTAAAAGGAGGGAAAAATAGTATTACAAAAACTGAGTATTAACATATAGTATGTTGTGTTTAGATCATTTTTGTCATTTCTAAAATTACCTTCTTGTTAGTAAATTGGAGTAAATTACTCCAGTAGTTCCTAACCACAAGACCAACAGAGAGGCATCCTTTCTGCTGGCTCGGATCCCCTCTGTGTCTGCCTCTCTGCTGCTCGGCATAAGCACTCACACTTTGTAGAAGAAGTAACAGTCTTGTTCAAGTAAATGATAAAAAAGGACAGTGTTTAAACAATTGTTTAAATAATTTCAGTTTATATTGCAATGTAACATTAATCACCTGTCAATCACTAACTCCAGTAAAACAATGTGAGAGTGCTGATTGAACGCCTCCTCTCCATCCACAAAGTCATACTCTTCCAGCAGGGCCCCCAAGTCCAGATTACAGGACAGTTTGTCGGGGTACTTCCAAGAGGTGAGGCGTACCGGCCCGGTTCTGGAAAACACGTCCAGAATGGCTCCCTGAATGTCGGCCAGGTCTTTTCGAAGGCTCTTGATACAGTCCTGACGACCTAACAGCTGACTCATGTCACACAGCTTTTAGTTTTCTGTTTTCTCTCTCCAACAAAGCAAAGAAAAGGTCGAGCTTGTTGACACTGTGTATCCTTGGTAACAGTTTGTACTCAAAGTCCCATCATGCTTTGCTGCTTGTTTCCGGAAGTAATACACCTCCATTTGTTAACGACAGCGCGAGTTGGTACGTATTGAATCACAAAAAAATATTGCTTTAACTACACTATAATGTGTCTTGAACGCAGTTTACAATAACAATTCGATTTTAAAATACATAAACTGTTTCTATCATCTTTGTGTTTTCAGGTAGTTGTCTGTTTTCATTGAAAGACACCGCCATGCCGCCTGGGCCTGTTCAGATAGTTCAGCCGGAGCCCGTCAAGGTAAGGCTAACAAAGTTAGCATGTGTTATCCAACATTGCATCTTTTACACAAAGGTTATTACAAAGTCTTACGTTTAGATTTTCTTTATTAAAAAGACAAAAAAATATTTCAAATGCTGAAACAGTTACCCATCCAGTGTTTTATAAGCTGTTTTACGTGCTAAGTTTGTTAGCATCTAGATTTTTGTGTAGCAAATTATGGTGAAAATAAGAATAAGGATAGAAAACTATCGACAGCGAGCATCAGCGACATCTATCCTAAACAATAAAATGCGACAATTTTTGTGATAAACTAGGAATAAATGCTGGCGTTTGCAAATACTTACATTTTTTTGTAAGTTTCTAAAAACATGCTAATTTGGTAACACAGTTACACTCAGTTTTTGCCATTAATTGCACTACTTTTAAAGTTTTAAAGCAAAATTTAAACAATTAACGATCACGATATATTGTTAATTTTGATACTTTGAATGTTTTTATTTTATTTTTTTTTTGTTATTTTTTGGACTAGATAACTAGAAGGTTTATCAGTGTTTTGTTTGGTTCAAGTTTGAATGCCTGTGTGTCAGAGTTATTTACATTGTGTTGATTCCTCTATAATAAATTCGACATTGAGCTGGTTTGTAAACCTTTCAGCAGAATGATGCACCTCCAGAAGAAACCCCTGCTACAAAACCCATTGTTGGGATCATATACCCACCTCCTGAGGTCCGAAATATAGTTGACAAGACGGCCAGCTTTGTTGCCAGGTTAGTAACTTTATATGTCGGTAATAAACAAACGCAACCTTTTAATGGGCCTTTATTCATAATAAAACTCTGTTTCTCACAGGAATGGGCCTGAGTTTGAAGCAAGAATCCGTCAGAATGAGATCAACAACCCAAAATTTAATTTCCTCAACCCCAATGATCCCTATCATGCGTATTATCGTCACAAGGTCAATGAATTCAAAGAGGGTAAAGCGCAAGAACCATCAGCAGCTGTGCCTAAGGTCATGCAACAGCAAGCTCTGCAGCAGTCGCAACAGCTTCCTCAAAAGGTAAGACTATTAGTCCTCTTTTTTGAAAAAAGCTTGATTATTTTTGTACAGATTTGTTTCTTTTTAACATTGAGGGATATTGTGTTTATTAGGTCCAGTCACAGGTGATTCAGGAGACCGTGATTCCCAAAGAGCCACCCCCTGAGTTTGAGTTCATTGCAGATCCTCCATCAATCTCAGCATTTGATCTGGATGTTGTCAAGCTCACGGCACAGTTTGTTGCTCGCAATGGACGCCAGTTTCTCACTCAGCTTATGCAGAAGGAACAGAGGAACTACCAATTTGACTTTTTGCGGCCACAACACAGCCTCTTCAATTACTTCACCAAACTGGTTGAGCAGTATACAAAGGTGACCCAAGAAATTCTGCCTTTCTGATTTTATTGGTGTTTATTATTATATATTTATTTTGATTATTATTATTCATTTTGTCTTTTGACCTGTAGATACTGATCCCTCCTAAAGGCCTACTCATCAAACTCAAGAAAGAGGCTGAGAACCCAAAAGAGGTCATGGACCAGGTAATTTCCGTTAGTACAGTTGGTAAACGTAAACAGAGTTTCATAGCCAGTTGTCTCTTCTTGATTATTATTTTTTTGGGCACAAACAAAAGGTGAGATACCGTGTTGAGTGGGCAAAGTATCAGGAGCGAGAGAGGAAGAAGGAAGAGGAGGAAAGGGAGAGAGAACGTGTAGCATATGCACAAATCGACTGGCATGACTTTGTAGTGGTCGAGACAGTGGACTTCCAGCCCAATGAACAAGGTAGTGTAACCTCAACAGACACACAATCATGTACACCTTGAAATCTAGCAAGAGTTGTTTATTCTGGATTATTTGTTCTCGAAGGCCACTTCCCTCCACCTACTACCCCAGAGGAGCTGGGCGCTCGCATCTTGATCCAGGAGCGTTACGAGAAGTTTGGAGAAAGCGAGGAGGTGGAAATGGAGGTTGAGAGCGAGGATGAAGAAGATGAACGTCCAGATCGGGCTGAAGGTCAACCTTCTCAACCTGATCAAGATACTCAAGTGCAGGACATGGATGAGGTTAGAACTGTGTGCCTATCAAACTGTAAAAATATCCAATTAGGACTATTTTCAGTCACAAAAGGTTCAGAATTTAAAAAGTTCATAACTTTTCACTTTCTAATTTTCTTAAATAATTAGTGTTGCTAATTTATAATTTGAAAGTACCGGTAAGCACATTTATGAGCATCACTACTAATAATCTGACTGCTTCTTCAGGGATCTGATGATGAAGAGGAAAGTGTGAAAGCTCCACTGCCACCAGAGAACCCCATGCCACCTCCCTTGCCTCCAACTCCAGACCAGGTTATCATTCGCAAGGATTATGACCCCAAAGGTAACCTGCCTCCTCAGAAGAAAGAGCTTCGTGTATATTAAGTTGTTACTTTGCAGAGGGTCTGTTCAACTTCTGTTGTGTTTTTCCCTCGTAGCTTCCAAGCCTCTGCCTTCAGTTACAACTACTGATGAGTACCTTGTTTCACCAATCACCGGTGAGAAGATTCCAGCCAGCAAGATGCAAGAACACATGCGTATTGGTCTGCTGGACCCACGCTGGCTGGAACAAAGAGACCGGAGCATCAGAGAAAGGCAGACAGAAGACGAGGTCTATGCTCCGGGTTTGGATATTGAGAGCAGCTTGAAACAACTTGCTGAGAGGCGTACCGATATCTTTGGTGTGGAGGAGACGGCCATCGGTAAGAAGATTGGGGAAGAGGAAATTCAGAAGCCAGAAGAGAAGGTAGAGTTGACATTTCAGATCACTTTTCTCTTCAAAACACTCAAAAGTTGAATTTTTTTAAACTATTCTTTACTTGTGTTTGTGTCAGGTTACCTGGGATGGCCACTCAGGAAGCATGGCGCGCACACAGCAGGCAGCGCAGGCCAACATCACTCTGCAGGAGCAGATCGAAGCCATTCACAAGGCCAAAGGACTGGTGGGAGAGGACGACACTAAGGAGAAAATAGGCCCGAGCAAACCCAGTGAAATTCATCAGCCACCTCCCATTCCTTCTGTTCCACCAAGTATGCCTAAACCTTCTCCACCAGTCGCAGCTGTGCCACGCCTCCCAGTCTCTGTAAGTTGCAATCATATATAATCATATATAGACAAATCAAGTTATTGCTGTGCATATGTACCTACTAATTTACTAATGTGCTTGCCATTCAGGTGGCGCCTCCAGTGCGTACCACACTCCTGTCTGCCGTTCCTGTGCTTCCAAGGCCCCCTGTGACTCCCGTGGTACGTCTTGCACCAGGCCAGGTAATAACTCAGATGCCTCCCATGATTCCTGCTCCCCGTGTCAACGTGGTGCCCATGCCACCAACAGCGCCCCACATCATGGCCCCCAGACCACCTCCCATGGTTGTTCCGACTGGTAAATCAAAGGCTTCCAAATGCAGAAATGCTCTCAAAATATATTTATTTGGGGAAACAAATGCTTCTGTTTATTGTTTTTTCGTTTTTTTCTTCTTCTAGCCTTTGTCCCTGCTCCTCCAATGCCACAACCACCACACTCTGCTCCAGCGCCACCTGTCCACCCACCCCCACCTCGCGAGGACGAGCCCGTCAACAAGAAGATGAAGACAGAAGACAACCTGATTCCAGAGGAGGAATTCCTTCGAAGAAACAAGGTAGGAAATGCACTGCCCGATCCCGGCAGTGCGTGGGTCAGGTTTTTATGATTTTTTTTTCGCGCGTTTTCATGCTTAGCCTCCCCTTAGCATCTCAAAATCTATCTTAAGGCTTTATCTAGTTTTTTTTTTCTGCTTTGGTTTGAAAAATTGTTGTGAAACTTTGACGCGCACTATGTCTACGGAGCTTCGCACTTTTTTATGATATAATGGAAGTCAATGGAGCACTTGCTTTCTAATTTTCAGCCTTTAAAGACCTCTAAATCCTTAATGTGGGGTTCAATTAAAAAAACTAAAAAGTTTTGGAATCTTTACATAGAAAATAATAATAATAATAATAATAATAAATAATAATATATACAAGTACAAAAAGGAAAAACAGCTCTAAAATAAGTTTGAAAATTTTATCAGTCCCAAAACAAGGTTTGTTGGAGCAACAGTGCATTGAAAATATGCTGTAACATATAGAAATAACATGAAATTAAAGAAACTCTGTCATATAAATTAGTTATATTTTGGGATTTATCACTAATAAATATGTCTAAGTAGCCGAGTCAACAAATTGTCTTGGTTTGCCTTGATGTCCCCAGGGTCCTGTGGCAGTCAAAGTACAAGTACCGAACATGCAGGACAAGACAGAATGGAAGCTAAATGGACAGGTGCTGAATTTCACCGTCCCACTTTCAGACCAGGTAAGTCGATGTTTCTCAGCCCACTTGGTGGTGAATGTGTACTCCGTTGTGGCTGACTTACAGATAAAATGTCTCCACAGGTTTCTGTCATTAAAGTCAAAATCCATGAGGCTACAGGCATGCCAGCTGGAAAACAGAAGTTACAGTATGAGGTAAGCTTTTGTTTTGAAGCTAATTTGCTCATGCCTTTTTTTTCATCCTGAATGAATTAAAATGACTTCATTCATAAACTTCTGAATTTACAGGGTATTTTCATCAAAGATTCAAACTCCCTGGCTTACTATAACATGATGAACGGTTCAATCATCCACTTGGCTCTGAAGGAGAGAGGTGGAAGAAAGAAGTGAGCCAAAGGAAAAGTTCGTGTTTTGTCATGCATTCTTGTCATGTAATATTGGTAATTTCTGGAATTAAAATGTAATTGTAGAACATTTCTTTGTGAACAAGAACTGTATGTTGGTATTGTTTGACATCCATGTTGTTTGACTCCTGTTTTGTTTATGATTTAGGCAAAATATGCATAAGTAACTTGGTAGATTTTTTTTAGTTATTTTAAATAAAGGCAAAATAATCCATTTGTTTTATTTGATGTAATAGCCTGTCCAATAATATTTTAATAAAACAACTATTAAAGTATTATGCAGCAGTTATTTTCCTAACTATGACGGAATGTTTCTACACATGGGATTTATGTAGTTCTCCCAGGCAGCCACTAGGGGTCACCATAACATTACTTGGTAAAAAATACCAAGATAGGAGTTTCTGCCTGCTCGAGGCACAGCCTGTCAGCGACACACTGGGATTGACAACACAGCTCCCACTATTAGCTTAGTTCCACAGCAGAATTAGGGAAATAACCAGCTGACAAAACTCACTAGGGTCAGTAAAAGACGACACGACAATGTAGCGTTTGTGTGCTGAAGGTAGGATCACTTGAGAATACTTTTCCACGGCATCGGTACGTGAAGGCTAACTTACCGTTAGCTTCCCAGCATTAGCTAGCAAATGTTCAGTAATTCAAGTTAGCAGCGAAAGCTAACCTGTTTGATGTGGTCCAAAAGAAAAAAAAAACAGGCGTACGAATATCTGCTGCCAGGACGGAACTCGGAGGTGGGGGGGAGACAATTATTCGCTCCTAGATAATCATGGCGTCGATGCAGTTTGATTGACTTTTGAGGTGGGGGGGCTGTCAACAAGCTCGCTGCTGACGTTAGCTATCCTGCTACCACCACCACCAACATGGCCAAAACAACCGAGAACGGCCGCTACTCGTCGGACACGCGGAGCATCAGGACCATCAGCAGCAGCCACATCGACGATGAAAGCTCTTTGGGGTCCGACTCGGAGATCAACGGCTTCACCAGCGACAGGCAGACGGATAAATACGGCTTCATTGGCGGGGCTCAGCAGTACTCGGAGAAGTCGTGAGTTTTAAGTGATTCATTCGCACTGAATGCGGTTCTGCAGGCTCGTTCAAACGGTAGTAGTGTCATTCATTTAAGCCGCATTTGACAGCAGGATGTAAGTGTTGCAGCCAGTGTTGTGATGGTTTGTTGACATGAGAAGAAGTCAGCCTGATGATGTTGTGTGTCTGTGGAGCTCCCAAACAGCTGCGTGGCAGTGTGTGTGCGCGTGCGCGCGCGCGCTTTAATATTACTTTTTTTTTCTTTGCGTTTCAAAGCAAAAAAAAAAAAGCATGCAGAAAGAGATACTGGCAACAATCAACACAGTTCCACCCAATCCTATTATGTAATGTTAAACTCTGTTTTTCTTGTGTGCTCGTTTGCATTGTTTCAACACAGAAGGCTGAAAGAGCATTTCAGTTTGTCTGCTTGTCTCTACACGTCACTCAGCTTTTCAGTAAGGCTACACTATTTATTTTTCCAAGAAGGCTGGTTACTTCTCCCTCCCCTTGCTCTTTTACAACCTAAATCCTACATCACAGCACTGAATTGGGAAAAGGAGCTGGTGAAAGTGGTGCCAGTCATTAGCTGGCAGCAGGTTTTATATCTTCTGGACTTTTGGCAGGCTTTAGGCCACAACTCTGGTGCTCTTCACTACAGGGCCTCTCTTTGGCTCGCCCTTCAGATAGTCTTATACTCAGGAGTTCAGCTGACACCACTTGGCAATGCAAGTAACTTATAATTGTTTTAGGGGGGAGATTGAAAGCTGAGTCTGTAGTGTATAACATTTTGTCCTCACCCACCACATCTAGCCTGCACTTTTAGCTGACAGAAGACTTTCCTAAATATATAAATAAGGCAGCTCTTTGATGACATCTTAAGCCTGCAATTACAGGCTTGTGTCAGTGAGATAATTGCACCATTCAGTAAAGCATCAGCCATCGTGTATAATGTAGGTTTGACTTGCCTTCGTCATCTTGCTCTTTGGGAGGATTTAATGTGGACTGCATGAAAGCATTGCACAGTTCGTTTCTGTTTTAATGATGCATATTATCAAAATTGAATAGACTTTGAATTTGTAACATAATAGTTGCTATTTTTTTGTTTGTTTTGCTACAAAAAAGCAGTAGCCACACACACATCTGATTGCAAAATGCATGCAGTTTCAGACACATGAGCCTATTGTTTATCGCTGTATTTTGTTCACTTGAGTGTTGATCTGTTTGCAAGTTACTGACTCACACGTTTACACTTTCTGTGTGTGCGACCAGAGCTCAGTACGTGCCCCCAGAGGTGCTCAGGCAAAGGGAGGTGAAGTGGCTGGACATGCTCAACCACTGGGACAAGTGGATGCTCAAGAGATTCAATAAGGTCAGCGTCGCATATAAAAACCACCGTCCATCTCACAGAGTGCGGCTGCTGATACGTCAACTTGTTTGCTTCTTGAAATGCGATTACGCCAGGGAGAAGTCTCTCTGCTTGCAGCTCCACTTGTTTAGCGAGTTCTCCGTGTGTGAAATGTTCTCAGCGTTTCTGTGCTTCACCTAATTTCCATGATTCAGCAGCAAGCCAGGACAAAACCCTGTTGATCACACCGTGTACCATGTGACAAACTATCTGTCTCAGATTCAGGGTGGGGCCGCACTGGCTTTCTGTGAGATAATTGTGTAATAAAAGGTGCTGTGAGTATAAAGATGCATTCAAGTGCAAGAAAGCCTCGGATAATCTCACGTAGGTCCAGGTTTTTAAACCATCTACTGTGTTTTTGTCACTGAAACTATTTGTGAAAAACATCAAAACTTCTCTTTTGAGAAGTGTGCAAGTTTCATATTTAGAAAAAAAAATTACTTCTGGTGACTCAATCTGCTGCATTGACTGTGGTTTATGATTGTTCACAAAGATTATAGCTGCTGCACTTAAAATAACTTTCATGAGATGCGCTCCGTGTGTAATTGTAAGGCTCAATAAACTAACAGTAAATTTAGAACCAAGCAAAAAATGATCTGTTTATGTTTTGCATTTAAGCAATGAAGCATTTAGGAATCCTTGGCTAAACCGTTTTCTCTCAATCTACTCCAATGTTTATGTATAATCAGACCTTAACTGTGAATCCTTCAGGATAAATCTCTTAAAAGATTGCATCTTGTCAGCTGGTCTGCTTACTTTTAGTGAAATCAAACATTATATTACTTTAAATTATATAGCTCATTTGTAATCAGTCCCAAATGCTGCTGTCTAAGAATCCTGGTTAGTCTTTTATTCATCAAACTGTAGCCTCCATTAAAACGGTTGTTTAAACATTGTGCCTGTGAGACTTGTATAATTTAAAACTCTTCTTGGGTTCAGGTGAGGCTGCGTTGCCAGAAAGGAATCCCTCCTGCTCTCAGAGGCCGTGCGTGGCTCTTCCTGTCTGGAGGGAAAGTGAAGAGAGAACAGAACCCCGGAAAATTTCAGGTCCGACAACTGCTTCTTTCACTTCCTCAACTTTAGCGCTGTTTGTTTGGGCACATATCACTTTTAAATTTCATCTGAAATTGTTACTGAAACTCTTTTTTTTTTGCGCTTGTGTTACTTCTGTGGTTGGGAGAAAATTGAAGATTTTGTTTTTTATGTTGCATCGAGTTGGAGCAGGTTCACTTCTGCTCAGACAGTTTATGATGTAATTGTACCCATGAAAACTTAAAAAGTGTTCATGTTTGATATTCAGTTCTGTGAAGTAGGAGCGCGCACGTGTTTTCTGTATTCACTCATTGTATTCAGTTCTGTTTAGAGTGAGTAAATGCAATAAATAAATGTGTCCTCCATGTGGTTTGTCAGGAACTGGACAGTCAGCCAGGAGACCCCACATGGATTGACGTGATTGAGAAGGACCTCCATCGACAATTTCCTTTCCATGAAATGTTTGTGTCGCGGGGAGGTCACGGGTGAGCTGTCTCATTAGATGTGATGTTAGATGTTTGCAGTGGCATCTAGTCTGACATTTATTTTGCCTTTATTTGGCCACGTACAGGCAGCAGGATCTGTTTCGTGTTCTGAAGGCCTACACTCTCTACAGACCAGAGGAGGGATACTGCCAGGCCCAGGCCCCTATTGCTGCTGTCTTGCTAATGCACATGCCTGCTGAGGTACTGCAGTTTTGTTTTTTGTTTTTTTCATAATCTACACACACATCTGTCAGCTTTGATGCGTATATCCTGTTCACCTTTTAAAGATGAGAGTTTCTGTGAAAAGAACCAGCATTCTTATCTTGGTTGTTATTTTTCTAGAGCTTGCTTTTAATTTCTGAACTTGAATGCGTTTATTTTGAAGTTGCATGGCACAGAGACAAACTAATTAATCTGCTTAAAACACAGACGCATTTTTGAGCTTATTAGGAAGTAGAAATATATATTTAGAAAATTATTAAACTTTGGTGACTTAAACATTTAAGGATTTATGAAGTCAATGAAACTTAAAAAAATTACTGCTGAAGATGGAAAGTTTTGGGTCTGTTATTAAATTTAACTATTGTGCATCATCAGCATAAAATGGATTGGAGATGCTAACAAAGCTACTCTTCTGAAGCCTGGTTTATAGTCTGACAGGGGTGTCAAACTCATTTTCACTGAGGGCCACATGAGCGTTATGGTGGCCCTCGAAGGGCCACTTGTAATAAACTTTGATGTTTCATGTGTAACTTTGACTAAACAGTGTTTTAACACGTCCTCTTTTAAACACTGATAAGAACTAAATGTATGACTGACTACATCTGAAATAAATACAGAATTATTAAAAGTAAAACAAATAAAGTTTCACTCACTGATGAGTTTCTAGTGAGTAGCTAATATGCATTATGGCAGGTTTAGTTTATGGTTGATGGTGACTTTAAAGCGGCTTATTTTCAGACATTAATACTGTGCTATCCAGCTAAATTGCACAGTTACTTCAAGCCAACAGCTCAGAGACAGGAATTTATTAATTTTTTTTGTCATTAATTTTTATTAAATTAATTTTGTTGCATTTAATCATAAATTTAAAGTTTACCATTGATATAAGAAACAATTTTCATGTTAAGTAAAAAAAATAATATTTTTTTTTGGCGGGACACACGTGAGTCACCCGCGGGCCACCTTTGGCCTGCGGGCCTTGTATTTGACATGTGGTCTATAAGAAGTGAAAGGTTGTGTCTCGCTGGCATGGTTCCGTGTTAAAAATTGCTTACCCCCCAGTCAGAGCTACTGTCTTTTAAGTTATGCTCCACATATTGTGGGATTGGTCAGAACTGTTTGCATGTTGCTGCAGAGGAGTGGGTAAACCACACTGCAACTGTTCCGCTGAGAGGATCAGCTGACCGAGGCCGTTAGAATACAGCTTTACAACTGTTCCAGCAAACATATAAAGATAGTCAAATAAGACTTATAAAGATGGGACAGTTGGTGTGCATAAGGAGACAGCACGGAGACACAGGCGGCTCCCTGTGGCTGTGCTGACTGGAGATCAACCGATACAGGGTTTTTAAGGCCGATGCCACAGTCTGACTGATCCCCGATATGTGCCGCTGAATCTTTTGAGGGCCGATTCTTGAAGCCGATATTGCTTTTTCTTCCTTGATAAAAATGACACAATGGAAACACGTGTTACACAAGTCTCAGTGTAAACATAAAAAGAAACATTTCTTTACAAAACAAACAAAATATTAATAAATAGCAAACTATGTAGGACAATTAAATATATAACATAAAAACAAACCATCTAATGTTAAGATTGTTTTAATGCATCAGTGAACACGTTCACGCATCGGCTGATGTTGATTCAAGAAAAACACAAATATTGGCCCAAAATATCGGTCGACCTCTACAGCTGACGGGGAGTGAGGGTGCCTCAGCCGGGCAGTGAAGGGACACGATCCCACACCGTCTGTTGTAAATGGTGGCGGTGTCTTTGTGACAAATTTACAAAATGTTAATAAGAGAAATACCAGATCCTCCCAACTTTTTCATTATCAACTTCAACAACAAAAAATAAATAAATAAAATCCACTCAGCTAACCTGGCACTATGTGTTGTTTCTTGACTGAAAGGTCATTATGAATAAGCACTAGTTCCTAATTGACTTACCTGGTAAAATAAATGTTGTTGTTATTATTTAAGTCTCATCTGGCTGTAAAACAGGTTTAAATCATCAGCTCTCCATTGTGTTTGAGAGTTGGTAAGAGTTTATGTTTGCACTGATGTGCTGTATTTAGTCAAACATCACTACTTTTGATCTTGCCTAAAAAACACTGCACCGGAGGCCTTGTGGGTTGTTTATATGTGAGTGTATAACCACGAGTCGTGCTGCCACTGCTCTTTTTAAAGAAGAAGAGGCTTTCTTGTGTCAATCTTTCAAACGTGACGCACTTTTTTTTCAGTTTTTTTACTGTCCTTTACTTTGAGATAGTGTTTCATTAGATTTCCATGTCAACAGAGATTTTTAAAGTTATCTTGAAAGAACTGTGTTTTATCTAACATCACATATTGATTGCTCTCTGTAGGATGCTTTCTGGGGGTTGGTCCAAATCTGTGAGAAGTATCTTCCTGGTTACTACAGTCCTGGCCTGGTGAGACTCAAACCTACTAAAGCATGCACAGTGATTTTACAAAGTCTTTAAAAATGCAGACAAGCTTTAGCTATAGAGTCATAATGAAAGCATGTGTGGCTCTGAAAACAGAAGGTGTTTCTGTGTTAATCCCTTCATTCTCACGTCTCCTACAGGAAGCCATACAGTTGGATGGAGAGATTCTGTTTGCTCTGCTGCGACGCGTCTCCCCACCGGCCTTCCGGCATCTAGAGAAACACAAGATCGACCCCATCCTCTACATGACTGAATGGTTTATGTGTGCCTTCTCCAGAACCCTGCCCTGGGCCTCTGTGCTGCGTGTCTGGGACATGTTCCTCTGTGACGGTAACGGCAGCGAACGACATCACACTTTCACTGGATCGACACAAAAAGCTGTCTCACCTTTAATTATGCTCTCGCTCCTTCAGGAGTCAAAATAATCTTTCGCGTGGGTTTGGGGCTGCTGAGGTGCACGCTGGGAACTCGGGAGAAGCTGAAGAACTGCCAGGGCCTGTATGAGACAATGGAGCTCCTCCGGGCCATAGAGCCTCAATACATGCAGGAGGACTACCTTGTCCGAGAGGTGAGAGCACAAGAGCAGCAGATGGTCCATGTTCAAAATTTTAGGGGAAATTAGATTTTTATGTGTCAGTAACACAGATGTGTTTATTTTTTTGAACCTTAGCTTGTGTTCTGTTGATTTCTATCTTGTGGGTTTTAACTGATTGAAGCTAGGTGATGCAGTTTGTTGTTAGTCCTAATATTTACAGTTGAAAACTGTCAGAAAGTACGTTTTTCATGTCCGGGATTTTTCAAAAAAAGTGTAAAAAATAAAAAGCGTTTCTGCTGTAATAAGGAGCTTTCTCAGATTAACCTTTGTCTGTTAAACACTAAACAAATGAAGTCATGAGGAACATTCTGTCAGTCTCGTTATGCAGAGGTGTATTTTGCAGCACACTTCATCTTTACAGTGCATGACCTTTTTATCTTAGAGTTAATGTACAGAAAAAGTGTGCGTGTCTACAACAGAGGCAATAAGGAAACCCAATTAAAACAATGTTCATCTCCCAACATGGAGACAATAAAGAAAACCTTGATCATAACTGGTGAGCAGGAACATGATTAACCTAACTATTACGAGGCTCTGGATACTTTAAAGGACAGCGTCATGCTTAGTGCTTCAGTCAGGTGTGTGAAGAGATCAGTCTTGTAAAGTGGGACAAAAAGATGGTTAGTAGCACAAAAATCAATCATTCATGCAAAATCTATGTTTTTTTTATGTCTACCCATAATGGATAAACATTTAAATGATATGGAAAATAAATTTGCTTGATGTGCTGAGATGACCCACATTATCAGAAATAAGCCATGAACAGCTCTGCATTGCGCCAAAGGAAGATGTGTTCTCCAGCTGTCAGGAGATTCCTTTCTGCTGAGTGTAGATGTCCCGCACCTGACAGTGATCCATGTTCTTCAGGCTGATCTGAAAAGGCCAACTTTCAAGTCTGAAACTTACGTCTTTCTGCAACACACAACAGAACGTGCAAGAAAACCGTGTCAGTGTGGCTGCACTGTTGTCTCCCACATCTTATCTGTCACTTCTTTTGATATTTCCTGGGGATGCTTCTTGTTGTTCAGCCTCATTTTTTTCACTTTCCGCTGTGTTAGAGCTACAGAAATGCTCTGTATGCACTGACACCCGGGAAACGTCAGAACTTTACACGTCTTTAGTACAGTCAGTAGCGTGTCGATCAGATAAAGTACCTGATACGGCTGTGTTGACATTTACATCTAATCTGCATCAGTGACACTTGGACCACACGGTTAGTTTTAAGCGTGATGGATCAGGAAGGTTTGTAGTGGTGTAGAGTTTATGTTTCACTGTTGATTTGGAGAGTAGAGTACAGGAAGTGAAGAGCAGAGTGTGAGAGTGAATAAAACTGACAGAAACCAGAGATTTAAGCAGTGTGTTGGCTGTGTGGTCTCTCTGTTTCTTCTAACAATACCCTCTCTTATATGAAGGCCCGTCTTGTCTGAGAGTGACTGAGCATCCACAGCAGCTCAGCACCCTTTGACATTTACTCACAAAGTTCACTTTTTTTCCCCTCAAAACTGGAAAAAATGGTTTCCCAGCAATGTTTCTTCGATCTGCCCTTTGTTCGTAGATGCTCACGACTTTTCTTTTTTCTTGTTTTTCAGATTCTCTTAATCCCAGTGACGGCACGCGACATCGAGAGGGAGCACCACTCCCAGCTCAAACGCTGGCGGAAGAACCGGGGCGAGCTGAACTTCAGGCCGGCGCCGAGGATGCACGGCGCCCGCCTCATCATGCTGGCCGAGCCCCCGAGGCGCCAGGACCTGCAGCAGAACCCCACCATCGTGATCGAGGAGCCACCGCCGCCCACGCCGCAGCTGAAGAAGAGCAAGGAGGAGAGGAAGAGCAAGAAGAAGAGCGCGAAGAAATCCGCGCCCATCGAGGAGATCCCCAACCCGTACCCTCTCCCCACCGACACCACTCCCCTTCCTCCTCCTCTTCCACCTGCAGGTCCGCCTGACGTGGACTCGCCGCACCTGCAGGAAGCGCCTCCTGCAGACATTCCTGCTGCCAACAAATCTGGTCTCCAGCAGTCCTCACAAAGCCTTAGCAGCATAGACCAGGATACGTACCTGTAGCTCTGAAGCTGTGCGTGTGTGTGGGGGGGTGGGGACAAAGCACCAGCAACCAACCAGCCTTGCCAACGTCTCCGACTGGCCAGCATCTTAATTATTATTTTTGCATTGGACAGTTTTTGTATTAATTTTGCTCACAGATTTAACTCTGATATTATTAACATCCTCTAAAGTGCTAAAACTGCTCTGCGTGAATTTGATGTTGCCTCTTGATGCTTAATGTGCTCACTGACTGTCAGTCTTACTCGTCTGCTGCAGTTGTCGAGAGCAAAGTGTTGTCTTTGGACTCTACATTTATATGAGACCTAAGGAGGAATACGGTTACAAAACTTGTAGTTTTTTCCTGTCAGACTGAACACTATTAAGTTGATCTGTTAGTGTTTTGAAGCAACATTTGTGGACTCATAGAAACACATCTGTACACTTTATTAAATGTTTTTTTCCACTAGAGGGCAGCCTCACACACATTACAGCTCATTTTAGATTGTCATTAGAACGGAACCACAGCAACTTGGGTGCAACTGTTTTCAGGTTTTACTTTTGAAAATTTTATGAAAAAGGAAATGCACTTGCTTAAATGAAAAAATGGGTTAAACATTTTACACTTGCTCATCCGTGCCCTTCTACTACACACATGGTCACTTTTTATTTTTTGTCTCGTTTGAACTGATTTCGTGTGAACTTCGTGTAAACTCATGATGTTACAGTGCCAGGCACTTCCAGCCACATTCCACCAACATCATTTCATTTTGCTTGGACCAGCAGGAAGGAGAGCACAGGACATTCCTCACTGACAATTTCTGCCTTCTTAAAAGCCGATCGGTTGAAAAAAATTGCCAAATGCTAATCTGTGTAATGTGGACACGTGTGCAGGTACTTCCTGTCAAAACCTGGACAGGAAGTGATTGCTGGTTACATAATGGGGCTGATGTTTTTAGTAGCACTACCTGAGAATCACTAATATATATTTTGCTAGAATTTCCAAAGCTACACAATACGTTTTCTTTAAGATGATTGACAAATGCTACCTGTGACTTCGTTATTGTTTTTTTTCCTGTAAGCACGGTCCAGCAGGATTAGAGGATATCCACATTTACTGGGAGATTTTGACTGTTTCTCTCTAATTTCACTTTTCAGCGTTCATTCTTTGTAAAGGGAGTTTAGCAACTGGCACAGATCTTGTTAAATGTTTTTGTTTATGTGTCAAAAAAGATGAAGATCTGTTTTAAAAAAAACAAGCATAGGTCAAGTATAAAAATCAGTGTGGATTAGGGTAACTCACTCTTATGCAATCATTACACGTGTCACATTTTGCTTATGCTGCATTTTTATTTAAAGCTTTTTGTGTAGATATGACATGTACAATTAACATTTTCTTTTCAAATGAAATGTATTGCTATGTTTTACTGAGCAGTAAATGAAACTGCAGAGCAGATGTCTCTAAATCACTCAGTCTAATACAGTATATGTCAGATAAACATTTGTAACACTAGAAAATTTTTTTACTGGAAACGTAAGCCACATTTCTTGTATATACTCTAAAGACAGATTAGTAATGTTTTATCCTTTACACAAGGTTGTAGAAAAGATGTTTAATCACTACGAGGCTAAAGTTTTATAGGTGAAAACAAATTTGGTTAAGTAGATGGAAACATTTCTATTCACCTTCAATGAGCGTTTTGGGTCGCTTGTCTGTCTGCAATGTGTTGGATTCACCAGCAGGTGGCAGAAAAGAGCTGCTGGTTTGATCTGCTCAGCATTTTGGTCGACATGACTTCTGGGTCTCGATGTTTTGATACTGTACATGTTTTTTATAATGTACCAACTTAGGGCTTAAATCAGTCACATCTTTGCATTATGTTTTCACAGCTGAGAGTGATGTTACTGCTCAACTATTGAATAAAGTTCCATAAATTTATTCAACCTGCAAGTTTTTGTTTGTTTTATACATATTGTGTTTCTGCAAGAAAGCCCGAAACATTTAGAGAAGAAGATGAGATGATGGATAGTTTTGCTGTCTGTATTTTATGTTAGTTTTTCTAGGTATTTTAATTACTTCTACATAGTTTGTATTATTTTAGCTACTCGCTCAGCTTACTCGAGAGATGGGTGCTAGGACTTTTGGTTTTATAACTTTTATGCTTTTCAAAATGTTTAACCTTATTATTTTTTGAACAAAATTTTTTATTAACAATTTATTTCAAACATGGAAAACAAAATAAAACAATGATAAAAAAAATGATAATTAAATTAACATATTTGAAAAGGAATGGGAAGAAGTAAAAAAAAAAACTTATTTAATCCCACCCTTCTTCATGGCTTATTAAAAATAATAATAATTAATTCTTCTTTTTTCTTATTCAATCACAGTTTCATGAAGATTTAAACAACAATCTGTTTACCTACTAAATTATATAGTACAGAAAATATTTATAAAGATAAAYATACATTAATATGCAGCACATACGCATACGCACATGAATGAATACATACAACAACATACACAGTCCCAAACGTACCATATATTGCAAAAACAAAGCAACCACAAAATAAAAAGAAACAATATTATATGTATACACATATACAGTATATACACATATAAATCAGACACACTGAGCATCTCTATATCTTTTGAAAATAATAGTTCTATAGTTGTCCATAAATTGTCTTATATTTGGACATTCCTTAAGTTCCACACTCAGACTGTTCCACAGTTTTACTCCACCAACAGAAATACAAAACCCTTTTCGAGTTGTTTGAACAGATCTTGATTTAAAATTAAATTGACCCCTTAAATGATAAATCCCTTCTCCTTCAACAAATAATTTCTGAATATTGCCTGGTAATAATTTGTTTTTTGCTTTAAATGTTATTAGTGCTCTTTGTAACTCTACAAGATCGGTAAATTTGAGTAATTTTGACAAAAAGAATAATGAGTTGGTATGATCCCTATATCCAACCCCATGAATTATCCTTATTGCTTTCTTTTGCAAAATGAATAATGGTTGTATAACTGTTTTGTAATTATTGCCCCAACCTACTGCACAATTAGTTAAATATGGAAGAACTATGGAACAGTACAGTTTTTACCCCATAGAAATACATTGGGACCTTTTCATTTTGAAATTTATTGCACTTTCCCATTATACTTTCAGTTTGTAGCAGCCATGCCACCCTGAACATGACATGGCTGAACTCAGAAGCTAAGCAGAGTCAGGCCTGGTTAGTGCTTGGATGGGAGACCACATGGGAATACCAGGTGCCATTAAACCAATAGAGGAGTTGTGGTTGGTATACTAGCAATAGAAAGCCTTTGACCATGATAGGTTTTATGTGACCTTCTACCAAAAGATGACCAAAAAAATAGTTTATAGATATAGTTCTATCTAGCCTACCCTTTTGTTACTTTAGATATCCTTTTGCTACTTTTAGCTTCTGTCTCTCTACATTTAGCAAGTATTCTGCTTCTTCTAGCTCCTAACTCAGTTTCAGATTCTTCAACAAATTTCAGCAATGTCCTTCAGCTCTTAGCTTTATCTTTTCTAATTTTACACAATTTTCCTGTTCCTCCATACCAATGATGTGTCATGTCATTAAAAAAACTCCCTAAATGCATATGGGGAACAATGTATCAGTGCTAAACCAAACAAAGTATAATATTTATTCCCATGACATTTAGTATATTATTTTTTATCAGCAGGAGGTTTTTGAGGGAGTCCCTGGAAATGTTTCACCCCTGTAAGGGGTCCCCAGACACAAAAGGTTTGAGAACTCCTGCTGTAAAGCCTCTTAACAGATTATGTTTCTGAACAAAACAAAATCCACTGTATCTTCCAACACAAGTCAGCCCACAGCTGTCGTTGTTGTTGGAAGTTATTAGGGTAACCTTCATTCTTCCCACACATAACAATAAAGGTTCTGGTCAATCTCACCAATCCTTGGTTCTAACACAAGACAACAGGTAGTTGCACAATACAACCACCAGGTCATGCAAAGCTGCAGAGCTGCCCTCTACCCTCTGTCACATCCTTGTGATGCTGTCTTACTGCATCTATGAGGCACCCGATGGCCTTCACTCACTGTTTTGACAGATTGACACTATACTACCAATTGCCTGTTCTAAATGTATGAGCTTCTTGCAGATCAAATCACTTACATCCCCATCCCTGGTATGTACTACGCATTTTTTTGTTATCAGAGAATGTGCAGTATATATTACACAAAGAGGAGTGTCAATCTGATAAACTTGGCACAGTGTTGTCAAGTATGAAAACAGCCCAATTAGGGTCACACAGAAGATATTACATTTCATTACAGCTTCAGCTATTTGAATTATCTTTCCCATTCCAATCTGTCTCATGTCAGCTGTCATTAAAGACAGGACTACCTCACCCTGATTAGTCTTATCAAGCAGGAGTACATGCTGTGGTGTCTGCGTGTCTGAGCATTTTGAAAATGCACAAATGATGCTGAAGCCAAAGTTTTGTTTGACCTCGCAGTTTAGTATTTTTTTTTCAACCCCCATGAGGCAACAATTCTTGCTCTTTCTCCTCATTTCGACTAATAACGGGTTGCTGCCCTTCCCTCAGTTCACAGTTTAAACAGCCAAATGCTTCTTCTTTCCTCTCTCTCCTCCTTGAGGTGAGGGATATTTGAGGTTTGGCCTCAGGCTTCAAAGAGTTCATTGCAAATTGTTGCTTTGATGACCTCGGTAAGCTTGCGAGCTCAGTCCTAATGGTCCAGCAAGGTGTGAGCTGCAGCTGTCGACATCTGCTCAAAAGAAGAAAAAAAAAAAGGCACAGCATAGGCAGCAAGCTGTATTGGATTTGGAAACTGTCTCACTTTAAAAACATTTCATTTTCCTGATTTTTGCTGCAGGTGAGCAGTCGTGACGAATACCTCGCTGATGGTGATGAATGGTGCTTATACTCTGTGTGACTCCACCAACGAGGCCGTTAGGAGCCATTTACAAGGACTGATGATGTTTCTTCTCATGAGGCATGGCAACAGTTAATGGTCTAGGTCCCCGAGGAATGCATGCACCGTCACGCTTTCCCTCTTTGCATCGGACACCTGGCCCTCTTTCAGTGCCACCGTGCCATTTACATCTCAAAGAGGGGTAACCAAGAAGGCCCCTCTCTGTGCTCGGATCCTCACTCCAGAAATGATCTGATTTATCTCTCCATCAACGGAAATATCTGCCTCGGTTTGGCCAACCCCGCCTCGCTCGTCCCCAGCTAACAGGGCCGAGAGGACAGAGCAAGTAGAAAGAGCGACTTGTGATCCCTCGTGTGATCCCGGACCCAACGGACCCCTGTCACAGTGCTTGATTCATGTGATGCGGGTGGACCCTCCATCTCTTGCCCTCAAGGCTCGGCGGGGGGAGGTGGCGGACGGAGGGCTGGGGNGGGTGGGGGGGTGGCTATAACATGAAGCAAAAGTGTTCCTGGGGTATCAGATTCCCACGTTTGATGGAGCATGACAGGTTGACTCAGGTTAGATTAAAAGGCCGCAGTAACAAATATGGGGGCAGACACTGGGATCATCTGTGCAGGTGAACTTTCTGAAGCATTGGGAATAAAAACGTTATTTATTGCACCAAAGGAAAACATTAGTCTTTGTGTAAGCTGCATTAGGAGGGTGGAGATCCCTCTCCGAGGCCAGGGTGGATAATTGAATTATCCATTTGTTATTTTCTTCCCCTTGCAGACTTCTAATGTTCACATGCCTCAATAAAATCCTTCACTTCTTTCTTTTTTTGAACCATTATATATGGATACATTCTCTTACACCTTTAAACCTTTAGAACAAATCATCCTTACCTGTTTTCTTTTCATCCCATCTGTGCAAAATATTCTGCAAACCAATTATGTGCTGTCTGGTCTTGGGCCTGGTGAGAATTTTCTGGATGGAAACAGGACAGCTTCCTTTAATAGGCACTGCTTTGTAAATGTTTTTCCATCCCTTGGCTCCTGCGAACACTTTTGGACCATTTTTAAATAAAGACTACTGTTGGATAATGTTATGAATGCTTGTTAATGTTTAAAGCTTGGAGCGGTGCCTTGCAGACTTTGACATACAAGGGGTCTGCCTAATTTGGAAACGTGCTTTTGGCACAGGCTCGGTCTTCGTAGTAAAATTTAGAGGCTTCCACAAATAGTTTCAGGTATAAATAACACTTAGCTGGTACACATAACGTAGAAAAACACCAGAAAACTCTCATGGGTGCATTTAGAGCTCTAAATGTCATCACGATTCTCATTGCAGCTACTCCCTGTGGACAAACGTATTTAAGGAGTGGATAAAAATTATCAGCATGAAGAGGGGGTGCTGGAGTTTTCTAAAAGCAAGACCCTCTGGGTTATATTAGGTTTGGACCAGTCTTGTAAGCTGAAAAACATTTAACAATTCTTATATTTGCTTTATGGCAAAAATGCCTCAAATTTAGGGTTAATACTGTGAACGATTCAGCAGCAACAGTATTGTTTTCCTATTTTTTTATTTTGCTGAATAGTTTTTACAATCAAACTAATTGCTTACTTTGTGTGATTTTTTTAGTCAGCACATTGAGCACATTTATGGGATGGATGTTGTAGTTTTTGCAACTTTTATACTTATACTAACATATTAAAAAAAATTTGTAAACACAGACGTTTCAGTTCCTTCAAAAACATTGTTCCGTTTAAAATCTACTTTAGCTCACAACATTTTTTTCGTCATGCTACATTTTTGCTTTCTTTTGCTACTTTCTGTTTTTAGGATGTCTTGCGATAGTTTGAGCATCTGTCTGTTTATTGTAGTTTTAGCTTGTATTTTGCGACCTTTGGCTATTGTTTTCCTACATTTTCCTCGTGTTTAGCTGCATTTTGCTGGTGTTTTTTCTGCTTTTTAGCTGATGTTTTCTACTTTAAACTAAAG